TTAGACAATGATAACCATCTATTCGGATTTTTTAGATAACTACCAAACAAATATCTCTCTGGTTAAAATATTACGATGTTATTCTTAATGACAATACAGCTAAAACAAATAGATATCAAATGCTACTTAGTTTGTTCTTAGCTGTTGACAATAATACTAGGTTCCGTCTAGTAGCACAAGTGCTAATATCTGATAAAACAGTTGACTTTTATCAATGGATTCTGCAATGTATTAAAAAAGCTATGAGAGCTGAACCTTTAGTCTTTATTACAAATGCTGATCCAGCAATAGATAGTGCCTTGAAACAAATTTATAAAAATACTAACTCTTTGCATTGTATTTATCACATTAGTCAGAACCTTCCAAAAAATTTAAAATCAATATTAGGTAATACGTATGATCAATTCATTAAGAGGTTCTTCTAGTGCCGTAATACTTTGGATGAGAATTTGTTTGAAATGAGATAGCAGAATTTATTAGAAAAGTTTCTTACTGCTGCAAATTATTTGAATCGAGCACTTTATTATAGTCACCACTCATGGGCATCTGCTTTTATATCCAAAGTTTTTACCACCAGAATACAAACTATGTTTAGGGTAGAAGGATATAATGGTCTTATTAAAAGGGTATTATATAGTAATAGTAGTTTGTGTAACCTACTTAAGACTTTAGATTCGCGATTGAAAAAGGAGGCTAAGTAAAACTATTTCTTTAAGTATCAAACTTTGACATCATATGTTGGGATTGCATCTGTTGGAAGTGAGATCTTTCCTACTATTGATCATATACTTTCTGAATACTTAACTCTACAAATTCTTTCTGCTGAATGTATTGAAATTGCCCAGTGTTTGTACTTTAATGCAATATTGGTTGATCAAACAATGATTGGATTAGATAGTGATAACGATAATATAGGTGACCAATTTATAGAAGACATCTATGATGCATGACAAATATTACTCAAAATAGAAAAAGTTAGTCAATCAAATATTCAGAAAATTTGGCAAATTGTTGATAAGCAGCCAGGAAACAACTAGCAAAAGTATTTTTAATAATTATTGATTCAGTCTCTTATTTATGTATATGTATGTCTAATATCTCTCGTAGTATCATATGTCAACATTACTTTCAAGTAATGTTGGCATCACGAATTTCTGGGTTTTACATTAGGATGGTTGCATCACGTTGGTACTGTAATAATAAGAAAAAAACCAATGATCAACTAGACATAGTTTTTGCAAATAATGATACCAATCAGGCTCAAAATCAAATCACACCAACAATTCCAATAAATCCTCGACCACTTACTATTCTTTGTTCAGTGGCTTTAAGTAATAAATATGCAGCTGCTAGATATTCTAAATTCGGTGAAATATGGGGTTTTGCTTGACAAGCGACACAGCTCGCAGTTGACTGCGATGATGATGAAATGACCCAATAGTTAAAAGACTTTATTAGTTGGAAGAAACGTCGTCTTTTGACTGATAATAGTGACAAAGAAAATGACTTAGCAATTGCTAATCTGCTGATCAATAGCCATAAAGGCAGACCCGAAACCAAATGATACAAAGCCGTCACTGAGAAAACACCTTGTTAGCCGTACACTTGTCGTAGTTGTGGTCAAACTGGGCACAATAGTGCAAGATATCAGAAAAAAAGTAATTGATATTAGTGTGGTGTAAGTATATTGTGGAAAGATTATTGAAAGATTTGGTATTGCTTGTTATCACTTGATATATGTTTATTGTACATGCTGTTGTTTCTCTGGTTAGTTGCAAGTATGATCGTTGCATGTATAGTTTTTTGCATATATGGTTTTTTGCATGTATAATTGTTTGTGTTTAGATACGTTGGGTAGAAGTGTTTATTAGATAGAAATTGTTTATTTAATGCATAACGATAATTGTCATTTTATTTAGCGTTAGAATTGATTAACTACGAAAGATCTTAGGTTTACAGTATAGTAATTGCATATTTAATATAGACATATGAGAATTGGGTAGTATATATGTACTGTATTTCTGTGTAATAATGTACAAGGGTGTAATTCCAAATTTTAGTCCAAGCTGTTATTCGAAATAATACCTATGTATATTATTACATGCAACTATGGTATGATTGCCAAAATTTTGTTAGCAATTAATTAGTATTTTTTTTAAGGTTGGATATGTATGTTATGAGTCAAATTTGTTTTTAGGTCAAGTTAAACTTGATCTGGGTCAAATTGATCTCTAGCAGAATTTTAAGATTAGGCAGGCCGGAATTATGTTGATATTAGCTAGAATTTTTTAATTGATCAATTTGATTCGAGTCAAGTTTAACTTGATCTAAAAACAAATTTTACCTGTAACATGTATAGCTCAAATTGGTGTTGTTAAAGTATGTATGATATGAGTACCCTAATGTCATTAAAATCACTAAAAAATCTATAACTTTTCTGTAGCTATCAAGTTATGGTTTTTTTTTTTTGCAAATCTGTCTATATTTGTTAAGCAGTAGTAATTCATTTGAAAACTATAAAGACTTTTAGATATGTCATGCCATACTAATGATTATAATGCACATATATTACCAGATACTTGCCAATTATAATACTATATTTATTGCATTATCAAAACTTTGAGTTAGGGTAGATTAGAAGAGTATTGTTTAGAATTATATCTGAAATCTAATTTAGGCTATAGTCATATTCGACTTATTATAAATAATATTTTTTGTATTTATTATAGTATTAATAAAATTAATAAATTTATAAAATTAGATAAATTTATATAATTTAATAACTAGTGACAAATTACAAATATAACATGATGTAACAAATAAATTTTTCTAAAAAAAAAAAAACAGATATAAACTATTAATTTTTTTATACAATTTATGGTTTGCTTATTGTATTCAAGTGGCCTAGCTACTAAAGTTGATCAAAAAAATTCACCAAATATTTATTTAATTAATTGGTGATTCACTACTCAACCAGAGAGAGCTCATAGTATAACGTGACATGGTTTATATATAGAAATTAGGGTTTTTGGAATATGAGCTGTTTCTATCTAAAACTTTTTTTCGTACTAAGTTAATCATCTTTGTGCCTCTAATTAAATTTGTAGAGCTCATCAAGACGAATCTAATGGTGATTGAATTGTTAAAATCGGCTTGGTAGATCACAAAATATCTTTGAAAAACGTTTTGCTGACTATGTAAAATTCTTTTGGCGATACTATTGTCAAAAGAGAGAATTTTACATAGTTGGTGAAACATTTTCGAAGATATCTCATGATCCACCAAGCCGATTTTGATTATTTAACTACTATTAGATCTATCTCGATGAGCTCTACAACTTCAATTAGAGGCCCAAAGGTGATTAACTTGGTACAAAAAAAGTTTTAAATAGAAGCAGCTTACATTCCAAAAATACTAATTTCTATATATAAACCGCATCATGTTACACTATAAGCTCTCTCTGGTTGAGTGGTGAATCACCAATTAAAATACTTTCTGTAATTCATCATACAAATAAATAAAACTTTCTTTCTTTGTATATTCTCTTTTATAGAAAATTTTTGTCATAGCCTCAATAATCTCGACAAGATCAATCACATTTGTCTCCTTATTTATAGCCTCTATATCTTCTATTATAGTTCCTATATCTTTATATATAATGTCTATTTTTTCTTTAATTGTAACTTCAACTTCTCCAACTGGGATTTTTACCTGTTTGGCTTCTCTTTGTAATTTTTGTAATAGATTTTCTACAAAATTTATATAATAATTATGATATAACTTATCACCTTTTGTTTACTTTTCATTAGTTAAATTATTATTTTTAACTTCCTTCTACTTTTTGTCTTTTAGAGAGTAAAATATAGTTGGTCTAGTAGATTTGTAATATATACAATACTTAGAGTTAGTTATTTTTTTACTGAGAAAATTTAATATAAAAGTCGAATAATTTAGATGATTTTAACTAATATTATTACAATATAATACTATACAAAAGCTTCAAGTTCACTTAGTATACTTGGCTAGATTTACAAAAAAGATAATCTATTCGAGCTTTTGAAAAAAGTATTGTAAAATATATAAAAAAAAATTGAATCAATTGAATCGTTTGTGTAATGATTTACCAACTCAGGCATACTTGGGACAGTCCTATCTTGATCCCAAATATGCTTATATTTTAGATTAAATAACAGTCTATTTACAATTTATTCCGTTAAGACTACTATGAATAAAAAATTATATAATTGAAAAGTTAATTATGTTTATCCAATAGCAACTTGAGATTATAATACTAGCCTAGCTATAGCGAAAAAAAGTGATAGATATGTGACTTTTGGCCAATTAGGCCACTTCAAATTGATTCTTCGTTTAACATAACATCAAATGGTTCATAAGAGGGGGGAGGGCGTGAAAAATACACAAATTAAAAAAACTAGCAATTTTATTGGTTGATTTAACATGTGTTAGTTATAT